AATTAAATTTTAAAGACTTTAGTTCATTTTAAGTGCTAAAAGAAAGTATATTTTTCTCATAGTAAAAAAGATTAAATAACAGATTCTATAATTAATTATAAATACTAATTTCTAATAATATTCATTTTGTATGCCTTCCTATAAAGATAATCACATACATATCTTCAGATGGCTGATGCAAATGGTGAGGAAAGTCTGCAAGTGCTGTAACGTAACACTGATTTAATCACTCATTTCTATAGTAGCTCTCCAATTATGTGGTCCCCCCATCCATTTACTAAAAAAAGCTATCAGGAGAGAAGATTGCTAGAATAAGTAGCATGTGCTTTGTATTTTTGAAAAGAAGAAACAAAGACCTGAAGGAAAAGCTGGATCGTGAGAGAAGACAATCACTTTCTGAGAGTAATGTGCATGAAATCGTATGCCTTGGAAGAAAGACAAACTGTCAGCAGGATATAAAGTAAAGATTTTTTGCTCAGAAACACTATGTAGGTGGTTAGTTGTTTTATTGTTTTGTCCCTAACACAAGTCAGCCCTGTAAGCTGGCTAAAAGAAGGAAGCTCTACATAAAGAAGCCACAATTTCCATCCTAAATCAGGCTAGAAGTGATGGGGTGGGATGAGAAGAAGGAAGACACTGAGAGCAAAAATGTGGCATTTTAAATGCTGAGGTTTTAACCTCTTGAATATTTGGGTCATCTCCTGGGGAGGAAATATCACTAAGGGGGAAAAAAATCAAACCTCAAAATAAAACACATAGGCTATAAAAGTCACACTGGAACTAAAGTGTGACAGGAACAGAGAAAAGTATTGATTCATCTGTTCCAAATTTGCTCACAAACAGGGTATCTGTGAACCTAAACAAGAAAATACAGACAGCAGGAAGAAAAGATTAAATACAACTTTAGTGATTTGGAAAAAGCTAAGTACAAGACACTCAAAAAACTGAATACAAGAAAAATTTAGTGGCCTCACTAAATTGTTTACAATTACTAATTTTCCTTATTTTCTTTCCTACTGGCCCCTTTTAAAAACAAGTCATATCATCTGGTTGATTCTGGTTAAGGTTCTTCTAAATCTATCACTGCTCAATGACGTATCTATTTATGGACTCCTAAAACCCTGTGCAATCATATCTTAATTGTTTTTAACTTTCCTTCTCTTGTATGATACAGTAAACTTTGCTGAATTGTTTTCTCTATTACCTTTAATATGCTTATATGTCATTAATATCAACGTGTTTTTCTATATATTTTTATTTTTTCTATATTGTCCAAGAAAAAGTATCACCTTAAAAATCAATATTACCATGGATACATATACACATACATAGAGCATATATAAAGAAAACATCAATATTTTCAAATGTCAATATTAAGAAGAAAAGATTAAAAAATACTACCTATATCACCGTGTATACTGCAGTTTGTCATCTTCAACTCAAAATGAAAATGGATATTACTGAAATGTATAATGAACAGAATCTAACATTATTTGTTTGGTTGATTGTTTATTCAGTTATTCAGTCAGAACATTTTCAAATGTTAATACTGAACCCTAAATATGAAGTTTGCCTTTTACTAATATAATAATATAATAGGGACTTTTAACAAGCATATTAATTAAGTACAGGGATTTTCTCTTATAACACAGGTAATTTAAACAACTTTTTAAGTTACTATTCAGATAACAGCCTCATTCTAAATTGTGGGTGGTATTTTTATAGCACAAATTAGTCTTTGCCATAAAGCTTCATTAGGTGTTTGGGAAAATAAAAATTTGTAGTGAATCAGCTGCTTTAAGAAAGAAATACAAACTGCTTAAAAGTAAATAGCAAAAGAACTAAAAAAAAGGGTCTGAGCCCTTGAAGCACTTGCTTTCACCACATGCCATTACTGTACCGATAAAAGTTAAATACTGAACAGCACTGAATAACTCATGAAAATATAAAGTGAAAAATCTATGGGGAGGACTACAGCTGGGTCCTTAAGAACAGGTATTACAGACAGACTCAGCTCTTGGCTCTGCCATTTTCTAGCTATTCCACATTTAACATGAGACATTTCTTATCCTATTGAGTTTCAGTTTCCTGGTAAGTAAAATGGTGATATTCATACCTAACAGGGGGGTTACTGTAAGAACTAAATACACTAACGTGTGTATACATATAACCCATGTAGTAAATGACATATAGTAAGGATTGATACATGACTGTTACTTCAATAAGCGAATCTTCTCAGCGTTGGGAAAAAAATCGGTATTTTTTATGCTGGAGAAAAAAAAAATAGCTTACTGTTGTCTAAATCAGGACTTATAGCAGTGCCCCCTTTATCCAACGAGGATATGTTCTAAGTCCCCCAGTGGAGGTCTGAAACTGCGGATAATACCGAACCCTATATGTACTGTTTTTCTTCCTATACATACATACCTATGATAAAGTTTAATTTATAAATTAGGCACATTAAGAAATCATCTGAATTGCCAGCATCACTCCTCTTGTTAGTTGGGACTATTACTAAGTAAAATATGGTTTACTTGAACACAAGCACTGTGAGAGAGTGACAGTCAAAGTGATAATCCAGAAGGCTACCAAGTGACTAACTGGTGGGCCACACATTAAGTAGACATGCCGGACACGGGGATGATTCATTTTTGGGGGTGGAACAGTAGGAGATTTCATCATGCTACTCAGAATGGCACATGATTTAAAACTTATGAATTCTTTTTTTCCTGGAATTTTCCATTTAATATTTTCAGACTGTGGTTGACCATGGGTAACTGAAACCAAGGAGAGTGAAACCACAGATAACAGGGGACTACTGTACTTCATAGATCAAGGAAAGTCTTTAAGGTGATATCCAGAAAGTTTTAATAGCTTACCTGAGCTAAAGGATCCATATTTTTGTTAAGTAATCAGATCATATTCTAAACCCAGGCCTCCTGATCTCTGATCATTTTCCTACTAAACCAGTCTACCTTGCAAATGAGTCACTGTAGTTTGTTTTATAGTTTATACTTTTTTGAATTATTTTCTTTTAAAATCATGTTAAATTTACAAAATGAATTCCCAGTTATGCATTATACTTTTAACTGAAACATACTGAAGATAATTTAAATTAAAACAATATTATAAAATATAAATTAAACCAGTATATAAACTAGCAAGTGGTTGCACCTGATTTTATAATTCTTATTTAATGAAACAATGAGATAAGTACTTAAATAGAATGTGAACATACTTCTAAGGCAATCAGTACATTTTCAGGATTACCAGAAACCTATAAATTATAGGATATTTAGGAATTCAAATCACCTATCTCTAAAAATACGTAAGATAGAAAAGAAATCTGTGGTAAACCATAATCCTTTTATGCAAAAGTGTATGAGCAAGTTCTTACTTATATTGAAATGATTTAAGATGATTTTTCAGAATGAGTTTGGCAGAGTATATTGGAGTAGTTATCTTCAAAGGACTGTTGAAGAAATACAGAAAATTGAAGAAAATGTAAAATTCTTCAATTTGAAAAAAATCGTGAAAAAAACCTATAATTTGACAAACCTACTTCAGCTTTCACGTTTCAGGAATATGACTGCAAGTTTCTTAAAACTGTCTTTAAAAATGAGGCATGCCTTATTTTATACTTTAATATAAATTGCCTTTGGATATAGCTATTCTACGTATTTCAGATCTTATTATATAATCCAAGTATAACTGCCACAGTTCCAAAATGGACTACAAATTTTATTTCTTTAAAATACTGCTAGTAAATGATAAATGGTCATTTAGCTTTGTGTTTTCATAGAAAGGTCCCTAGAGATGAAAATGTAAGAAAATTTCAATTGAGGCTTCAGTGAAACCTAAACACTTCTGCTTTTTCACAACAAAGAAAATTAGCTATAAAACTTCACTAGATAAACTTTCTCTAATCAATCACACTGTAAATGAAGGGAAAACGAAATTTTCTCTTAATTGCTTTCATTATTTTAAATTTCAATTCATTTCTTGCTGGCCAAATTTCTCTCTATTATTGAAGTATGCACACTTAGAGCTCATGAGCAATGTGCTGCTTTTAAAATAAACAGAACTGAGGCAAGCCTAGAATTACCTCTTGGCACAGTAAACTTGCTGATCCCCAGATACTTTACTTCATCTCAGAAGTTAAAGCAAGTTGGAACCTGGGATTTGTTTGTGACCCCAGGAGTTTTCTACCTCTGGGATGAGCTGCATATCTAATACGAGAACACAGGATTTCCTGAGTGATCTTCACTAAGGTACCCCATGAATAATTAACTAGTCAGATGAAAAATATTTTTGAGATGCTGATTCTACCTTTGGATAAAAAAAAAAATCAGAAAACAAGTTTCAGTTTTGTTTGTTTGATTCTTCATTATTCCTGAAGAAAAAAAGAAGTTGTTGCCTTATACCATCTCTGACATAAAGGTTGCAAAGACACGTTTCTTAAAGCTGTAAAACATACACATTCTAAAGAGTGCTTCAGTTCATGTAATCCTTGTATTTTCTTTCCAGTCTGCTCCCTCTGGATGAATATATTTCTGATTCTCAAAATGCTGGCAGCCCAGAAAGCTTAGATATAATTGTTTCTATCAAATTCAAAATTTATCAAATTCTATACTACTATATATACAAGTATATTATTCACTTTTACTTCTGTTTGCATGGAGCTGGAAGGATGCAGTATTGGCATACCACTCTTTCATCCCTTTTCTAAATATTTTATATTCTTGCATTAAGAAAAGTCTTAGAATAGATACTGATGTACAGAAATATATACTCAAAATTAAATGCTGCAGGATCATGTAAGCAACATCTAATTCTTTCAATAGTGGGGAGAGTTTTGTGATCCTGAACAATTAAAATTAGTCAGTTTTCTTCATAAAATTTATGTGATTTATATGTTTTCATAGAAATTTTGTCAATGCATGCAAAACAAAGCTTAATATTTTTTCCTTTTTACAATAAAAGGACAGGAATATACATACTGTAAGGGACACATTCATACTGCACTTCAAGGTATTTATAGGTTCCCGGACATGGGTCTGGAAAAACATCAGGACCTGCCACCACTGCACACTGGGTTCTGTTATTGCACCTGAAGTCAAAAGAAAAGAAAAATAATAAGCTTGTGCACTGTTAAATCATCATTAACATCAATACTACTTCTAGTTCCTATTTCACAGATTTAAGTAAGATTTTGGTCAATTTAGGGTTCAGACTTATTAAGGAAATATCTATACTACATTTTTTAAAATTAGACATTAAACTAATATTAAACTAATTTAATATTTGATTGAACAAAGCGTGATTTTGAGTTAGAAGTTAAATACTGCTTAAGCAACATTAACTGAAGGATACTACCATGTGAAGACAGAATTTTTGGTAGGAAAGACTCCTAGTGTTAAAAAAAAAAATTCAGAAAATATAACCACAGAGTTTTATTAGGCAGTAGTAAAATAAATTCACTTAGTATCATGCCATTTATTTTAAAGGCAGTGAACATATAGTGTTGAAAACTTTTAGCCAAACCTAAAAAATAAAGTCAATAAATGGTTAATATTTAAATATTAAAATATAGCTAAAATTTAATCTATATAAATTAATAATAACTAACCTCATAAGTAAAACCACTTCTAAAAACTGATTCTTATATTTAGCCAAATATCGACACTAACCTTAGAGATTGCTATTCATAAATGCCAATATCCTATATTTTACGATAACTTTAAATCTCCAAAGAGAATAATCAGACATCACTATTGAAACAGAAACATACAGTGGACATCTTTTGTGATAATTGGGCTAAACAGATCTGGGTTATCCAAATATACTCATGGATAAATATACATACAATGAAATTGATTCTTACTCTGAAAAAGATATGCAAGTTCACAGCAGCCTCAGTTTACTCAGAAATTTTCTAGTCTTAATAATTTATCAATAAGTAGGCATTTCTGTGGAAAAAACGATGGTTTTTCCCACCTAAAATTCTGGCACTAAGTGTACAGAATGAGATATTCTAGCTGTCCTGTTTTATGTTGTTTATTCATTTCAGAAATACAGTATCTCAGGCTAGATTTTTCTGCTACTTTCTTAAATAGGTGCTTCTTCCTGTGGTATGACCTATACCTCTGAATCCTTGCTAGAATACTTGCTGGATAAGGAGCATTTAGGGCAGAACTCATTTTGATTTAGAGTAAAAATGCTTTGTATTTACTCGAGGCTACCATTTGTCAGGATTAATAAGGATTTTATTTAGTCCCTAAATAAAAATTGATTCATAAGCGAATGTCTTAAACTGAAAAATATATCCTATGTTATTAGTGAAAGATTAATAAAAGACACTATTCCATACTCATCAGGTAATTTAGCATAACAACTAATCCTGAGTATCAACATGTTCTAAAGTTCTCTTCCATAAACTTAAGTGTCTGATTATCAGACAACTGTGTAATAATATTAATGTAAATGTGGCTGTCCTCACACATGCATTGGAAATAGGTGGCTTGATATTTTAGTGTATTCAAACTTACAAAAAATAGCAGTACTTTCCTATTACATAGAAAAGCCACTTGAAGCAGCTGTCTCAAGTTATAAGACATATTTTTCTGCAGTTAAAGAAATACAATTTTCACATCATACTTTGAAAACATAAACTCATAAATCTATCTCAGGATTTTATACAATGAGCAGCTATATAAACTCAATTAAGCCTGTAATTGTTACAAAAACAATCAGCTATTACCAGGAATTCATTTGAAGTAGAAATGATGGAGAATGAAAGTATACATGATAACATTTGATATTTGAATATTCTGTAAATATACTATTATTGCTGATCTCCAGTCATTAAATTATGTAAGTTTGAAATAAATACACATATACATAATATAGTGTATATATATACAATGTTTTCTCTCTTGGCCTATTGTTTTAACTCCCTATTATCAACCTTCTTTTCTAATTACTACAGTTCTAATAATAATGAAATTAATATAAAATCTGTATCTCTGCTTGTAATTTTCATATGTAATACAAGTTTTTATTATTTAAACAATGTTATCAACAAATCAAATTACTAGTCGTTTATGAGTAGGGCATGAAAGTTAAAATTTAGAGTTATTCAAAAAAATCTTGAATCAAAAAGAATTTCAAATAGTTATATTTGTATAAATCAGATTTAAAAATACAATATGGACATTACACACATCCATTTATCCATCTAATTATTTAAATATGTGCACTCACCACTTTACATATTATATATAATTTACAAAAATACTAATTATGTATATGTAAGAAAATTGAGACAAGTAACCATTTGTTATAGACATTAGACATCATTCTGAGTCCCAAATATCTTACTTAATGTTAACCAAAGAAGAATCAAGAAAGTCTTCTAATTGATGAGATAGTGTTTGTGAGAGGTATAGAAATCAAAACATGCTATACCAGTAATATATTGCAGTCACTGTCATCATTATTCTATAGAAAACAATGCTTTACAACATTTACTTTTTAAAATAATTTATATTCTATTACTATTTCTATACCAAATGCTTTTTATAAGTTAAAATCCTTAAAAATCAAAAGGAGAAAGGTAGAAAACCTCTGGAATATTATTTCTGTATAAGATGTAATACTGATTGTTTAAAGACCAGCTACATTTCAAAACAGGAATTTAAAAGTCTGTCCTTTCTTTTTTTATGATTTCAGGCTCTATGAGTCAAAATTAAGTTAACTTTATATTAGATTAAAGATTATTGAACAATTGATACCAGTAAGAATATTTTGCTATATAAAAGTTGTTAAAAGTAATTTCATTCTAAAATATTATTGATGATAAAAGTGAAATAAAATAATTAAATGTTCTCATGTGCTTTAAACTCAGATTTTCTTTGTATTTACTTTTAATTTAAATATAAATTAAAAAATGATTTTCAGTATCCCTGATATCAAAGATATTCTTAAAACCACAATAAAGGATGAGAAAAGGCTGCAATAATATGGTCAAATGCATCCTAATCCACTAATAGTCACAGAGAAAATACCACACTCTTATAAAAGTGTTAAGGCTTAAACTTTTGATAAAAGTTTCAATATTTTTTCATCAGAAATTTTATGCAATAACAATTTTCTACCCCAAGAACGGACAATTTTTAAATAAAGCATTTGATAAATAAAGCAGGTGACACTAACAAATACCAGATAGAATTCTCAAAGAAATCTCTTGGAGACTCAATTTTTACACATATAACATGGACACCAGTTATTTTACTACCTCACAAAGTTGATGTGCTTATAAAAATGCATTTAACAATTGTAAAGTATCATATAAGTGCACAAGTTATACTATATCGTATACTATTTGTTGCTGTAGCTATCCTTATTAATATCAACATTAGTTATTTGTTTGGGAGATGGGTTAATAACACTTCATTCCAGATAGACTAAGTCTTCTGAGAGAAACCCACAGCTAGAAGAAATGACACACAGAAAAGCACATAAATTCTTTGGGTTCAGAGTAGGAAGAGGAAAAAACAGATTCACATAAAAAAAAATAAAATAAAAGTAAGCCAAGTAAATTAGTTGTATGCGAAGTATTTTACCTGGGATAGTAAATGTTTGAGTTTTATAGTAACCACTTAAACTTTATCAAACATGTTCACATATATCCACTTGTCACTTTTTTTTTTTTGAAATGACTGGTACTATTCCCAACTTTACAGAGGAGGGAGCAGGTGTGGTGATGTTAAGTAACTTTTCAGGCTCTCAGTAATCAACTAATAGTCACTGGACTCCAGAACAGGGACCTGAAGTTGATGATCCCAATGTCTTGTGAGACAGTGAGTCATGCATTTCATGGTCACTCCGGGAAACTAATTTAATTCACTCTTACAGGTTCTCAGAAGTATTATGATCTGATACATCTAAATGGCCCAAAATTCATTCAGATGTACTGTGAATCAAGCATTCCAAGGAAGCTCTGAATTTAAATTATCATTACATAACCAGGCCTTCTCAATTTGAATAGCATGCAGCCATCAGAAAGATAAATTTCTGAACATAAGGTAGAGGGAGTAATAGGATAACTGAATATTTATTTTTATATAGACTTCTGAAAGAAAAAAAAAAACCAAAAACATGTCATTTTAATTAAACCCACATACAAGCTCCAATTTAAGTGTAGTTGCCATCTACTGATCAACTTTATTTAATCAATGTCATTTAATATGTTGAATGCTATTGGTTACTGGCATTAATTTTAAAGCAATATTGTTTAACTTAAAATATGTCTTATGATGACTGCCAGGGACGATACACATCATCACAGGATTAGTAATCAGATACAGAATCATTTGCTGCTAACTTACTCATTCCAATATGGTTCATAGCAGTATAAGAACAAAATTAGTTAAGTATGATAATGAAAAAGTCACCTCTGGGGCAAAAAAGTTCCTCCATTTGCTACAACATACTGTAACATATAATAAAAATGATATTGCTATGGTTTCATCAACTATTGAGTAAGTTCTTATTATATATAAAATAATCAGCCTCTTTTCTGCTAAATTTAATAAAGTGATGTTTGTTTTAACTTCCATTATCCATATAAAAATTATCAGCCCATTATCTCCTGTTTGGTTACAATGTATTTGTAGATGAAGCATTCAAAAATGAATCTTAAACATAACTATATTTTAAAACATTCTTACATACTAGACATGTAAGGATTGTGTTGGTTGGTTCCATTGTTCTAGTAATCTAATATGATACCATTAAAATAATTTATATAAAACACCGTTATATTTATATGCTAGGAGTGTAATCCATAGTGTTCTCCATTAATAAACCCAATTACATATTTTTATTACACTCTAAAATTAGTGTGTACAAAAAAAAAAACAATCCTTGGAATGTTCAGAAACTTCTCAATTACTGCTTCAGCCGTGTAAATACATAAAACTCCATTTAAAATCACTGGAATAACAAGATATGATTGTGTTTTAAAAAAGATAGTTTTGTGAGTCTTCTTGTTAGCAAAATTAGTCATATGAATTTACATTAGTACTTATCAGATGACATTTATACAAA